GTTTCTTGGCTTCCTCATCTCCAAATACAAATACTGTGAGATGAAATGAGATACCAATACGCCTTTAGCTGTTACCAAGACCATGTTATAAATACTTCAATGGCTGCTAGAACCATTATTACTAGGACTTACTACTAATATTTTTATCTCCAATTTGGAGAGGAGACAGCTTCAAAAGGAAATTCCTCTGACTCAGCGTGTCCCGACCAGTCTAGCTCTGGAATGCACTGGAGAAAGATGTGTGCCAGGGAAAGCAAGACCTTTGACGAGGAGCCAGACCTGAGGGTTTTTCCGAGGGCTCATTCGTTTGAAAGATATTTATTAGCACGATAGCACATGCCTATAATCCCAGCATTTGGGCGGTAGAGGTAGGGGGATTCAAGGTTACTCTCAGCTACTTGAATTTAAGGCTAGCCTAGGTTATACGAGAACCAGACTGCGTCTGTGTAATCATAGAGAAGTCGAAAACAGATGGAGTCTCCCATGAAACCAATCCTCTAGAAGGGAAATGAGGAAGTCAGGGAAAATGTTTCACTAGGCCTCGAAAAGTCTGAGGGCAGACATGAGTGTCGAGGAGTCCCCAGACAGACTAAACTCTTAGACAAGGACCCCGAGTAGGAATAAAGTTGGTTTGTTTGAGAAACAGGAAAGACCACGAAAGAGAGGGGGAGAGTGTTGTGGAGACAAAGAGAGGCAGGAAGGCTGGCTAGCTGGCCAGTGGATTAAAACACGGCAGTCTGGAGGGAGACTAAACGTGGCCTTCCTGGCAGGTAGGACCTTGCAGATTAGGGAAAGGCGTCTGGATTTTATTGAGTGTAATGAGAAGCCACTGATGGATTTTTAAGTAGAATGGAGTATGATTTCTACGTTTTTTTTTTTTTTTTCGGTTTTTTCGAGACAGGGTTTCTCTGTGTAGCTTTGCGCCTTTCCTGGAACTCACTTGGTAGCCCAGGCTGGCCTCGAACTCACAGAGATCCGCCTGGCTCTGCCTCCCGAGTGCTGGGATTAAAGGCGTGCGCCACCGCCGCCCAGCGATTTCTATGTTTTAAAGATAATTATGAGGGCTGACAATCTGGCTTAGCAGCTAAGAATGCTTGCTTCCAAGAATGACAGCCTGAGTTCCATCCCCAGGACCCACGTAGTGAAGAGAGAGAAGTAAGGTTGCTCCCTGATCTCCACATGTGTGCCACAGCACACAAGTATACCCGAGTAATTTTTTTATAAGACAGCTATGAGGGAGGGCTAAGGACATAGCTCAATTGGTGGAGTGTTTTCCTAGGAGTCACAAAGCCCTGGGTTCAGTTCCCAGGACTGCATGAACTGGGTGTGGTGGTGCACACTTTTAATCCTAGTAGAGGTAGAAATAAGAGAGTCAGAAGTTCAAGGTCAGCCTGAGTTACATGAGAGCCTGTCAAAAAGAGAAAAAAGGAAAGAAAAGAAGAGAAAATTATGACCTAAAATTTATTTTAAAACAGGTTGTGAAAAGTGGGAAAGCCGGTGAGGATACAAACGAAATAAGACTGCTCATGAGTTGCTTGGTGGCAGATAAAGGGTTTCCTTGCAAACAGTTGGCGGTTTTCGTAGTTACAAGTGAAGTGGTCATTCTGGCTGCTGGGCGGAGACCCTGGACTGCAGAAAGAAGGCAGGGGTGGAAAGGAGCAGCCCGTCTGCTGCGTTAGCTCAGGAAGATAACGGTGGCTTGCGTCAAGATGACGCTGGTGGGGGAGATGGTAAGTGCAGGGTCTGATGCATCCTGGAGCTTGCTGTGGAAATTCACAGAGCATGGGATGGGCATACCTCAGCAGAAGGATAAATGGTACCAGATTTGAGATCGCAAGACGGAGAAGAGCTAGTTTGGAGAGCAATAGTGAATTCTAATTTTAGATATGTTAATTTTTAGGCCTGATGGACTTGGGCATGAGGGCACCGGAGTCTGGTGCTCAGGGAACATAACAGGACTAGAGAGTCCAGACTTTCAGCCTTGCCGGGGGCCCCTGAGATCTGATGGCACTCTTCTCTCCATGCCCCCCTGCAGGGTCCTGGCTGTCAGGCTGAAATGACCCCTCAGCAGTCCTCCGTCTACCATGGCTACCCATAACTCAGCCTCTTCCTCTGGTACTGTTCCTTCTCCTGGGCACGATGCTCCGACCCAACCTCCAGACACCTCCTCCTCCAGCACCTCTGATCCTGTCACCAAAGATCCCCCTGATGCCTCCTCCACTTCTGAGAGTGTAAGGTCCTCAGAGCCAGGGGGAGAGCTTCTGGAGTCAGGCTGTGGCCTTGTTCCACCAAAGGAGATTGGAGATCCCCAAGAAGAGCCTGGCTGTGGTCACATCCCACCAAAGGACCTCAGGGTGGAAAAGGAGGAGGAGGAGGAGGAGGAGGAAGGAATCCTTCCTTTGGACCTAAGCAACCACTTATCCTTTGCAGCTGGAGGTGAGGCCTACCTGCTGGCCAAGCCGTCCCTGTCAGGTGGCAGTGAACTCTTGTTACCAAAGGGCTTCCCCTGGGATGAGGCAAGCAACAAGGAAGAGCCCAGCCTGCCCCTCCTTGCCCACTTCCCCTCCTCACACCTTACTACCCTTCACATCCAGCATGGCTTTGACCCAACCCAAGGCTTTAGCTCTTCTGACCAAATTTTGTCCCATGATACCTCAGCGCCATCTCTGGCCGCCTGTGAGGGAAGGGATGGATCCTTCTGGAGCTACCAGCTGGTTCCAAACCCAACCGAAGATCCCAAAGATGGCCCCATGGGGAGCCGATGGGGAGACCACAGGGCACTGTTCTGGATCTGCCTTCTATGCCGCCTGGGTTTCAGCAGGCTCCAGGCCTTTATAGGTCACACACGTTCTCATGGAGTGAAGCTGACCCCTGCCCACCACCAGGGCTTGCTGGGCAGCCCAGCCGTACTTCAGGAAGGTGATGATGGCGGCATGGCCTTCCTTAGCTTTCTGGAACCAAAACCCCTTGCTTGCCCTTCTCCTAAAGTCCCTGAGTACAGCACAGTGACCATGGAGACAAACGGAGCCCAGTCTGAGAATGGCCCCCCAGAGGCCGACATTCAGGCCCTTGTTCTCCCTGCTGAAGAAGTTATGGCCCTCAGCCCACCATCCCCACCCACAGCCCTAGCCACCTGGGACCCCAGCCCAACCCAAGCCAAAGAATCACCAGTATCCAGAGGTGAGGCAGGGCCAGACTGGTTCCCTGAGGGGCAAGAAGAGGATGGAGGGTTCTGCCTCCCACTCAACCAAAGCTCACCCACCTCTAAGGAGGTCGCTACGCTCCCAGCTCCAGCAGGGTCTCCTGAAGACACCAGTGACCCACCTCAGTCCTGTCGCCTGATCGATGACTACCCTCCAGCCCCTGCAGCCTTTCAGGGCCTCAGCCTCTCCAGCCACATGTCCCTGCTACACTCCCGCAATTCCTGCAAGACTCTCAAGTGTCCCAAGTGCAACTGGCACTACAAGTACCAGCAGACCCTGGATGTGCACATGCGGGAGAAGCACCCCGAGAGCAACAGCCACTGCAGCTACTGCAGCGCCGGGGGCGCCCACCCCCGCCTCGCTCGCGGGGAGAGCTACAACTGCGGCTACAAGCCCTACCGCTGCGACGTCTGCAACTACTCCACCACCACCAAAGGCAACCTCAGCATCCACATGCAGTCCGACAAGCACCTGGCCAACCTGCAGGGCTTCCAGGCAGGGCCTGGTGGCCAGGGGAGTCCCCCGGAGGCGTCCCTCCCACCCCCCGCCGCCGCCGCCGCCGCCGCCGCCGTAGGGGATAAAGAGCCCAAGACCAAATCATCCTGGCAGTGTAAGGTGTGCAGCTATGAAACCAACATCTCCCGAAACCTGCGGATCCACATGACTTCCGAGAAACACATGCAGAACGTCCTGATGCTGCACCAGGGGCTGCCACTCGGCCTGCCACCGGGGCTGGTGGGGCCAGGACCTCCTCCCCCACCGGGGACTGCCCCCACCAACCCTCCTGAACTCTTCCAGTACTTTGGGCCCCAGGCCCTAGGACAGCCTCAGACGCCGATGCCTGGGCCTGGGCTGAGGCCCGACAAACCCCTTGAAACCCGGCTGCTTCTCAATGGTTTCCACCACCTTGGAGCACCTGCCCGGAAGTTCTCCACCGCTGGTAAGTCCCCTGACTCTGCTCCGGCCGGCCGCTCCCTCCTCAAGCCAAGTTGTATTCCCTGCCTTCTCCCAGAGGTCAGCTCCCCACCTGGGTAATGTGGCTCTCTCTAATTAGTTCCCTACCGCTTGCTTTCCTCCTTAGCCACTAATCTGTCTCTGTCCCCCAGCCCCTGGCAGCCTCTCCCCTGAGACCCATCTGCCACCAAGTCAGCTCCTGGGCTCCTCATCCGACGGCCTGCCCACTTCGCCCTCCCCGGATGACAGCCCGCCCCTGAAGGTGTTCCGCTGCCTGGTGTGCCAGGCTTTCAGCACCGACAGCCTGGAGCTGCTGCTGTACCACTGCAGCATAGGCCGCAGCCTCCCAGAGGCCGAATGGAAGGAGGTGGCCGGAGACACCCACCGCTGCAAGCTTTGCTGCTACGGCACCCAGCTCAAGGCCAACTTCCAGCTCCACCTCAAGACCGACAAACATACCCAGAAGTACCAGCTAGCAGCCCACCTTAGGGAGGGGGGTGGAGCCATGGGCACGCCTTCCCCACTGCCCCTGGGGGACGGGGCTTCTTACGGGTCTGTCTCCCCTCTCCACCTGCGCTGCAACATCTGTGACTTTGAGTCCAACAGCAAAGAGAAGATGCAGCTGCATGCCCGCGGGTCAGCCCATGAAGAAAACAGCCAGATCTACAAGGTGAAGTTCAGGCAGCGGGGGACAGGAGAGGGAGAGGGAACAGGGAGAAAGGAGGTGCGGAATAGAGAAGTGGCGGAGGAACCCTGGGTGATGGGCATGAGGAGCAGGGCCGCGTGGGTATCAGGGTAACAGAGTGTCGGGCAGACCTGGAAACAGACCAAAGGACAGTGGACTGTGAGGAGGAGAAACAGACTTTATTCAGCTCTTCTGGCATGTAGGCTGGAGGATGAGTCCATCTCAGTCCAGCCCATCATGTTATCAGAAGTTCGAGAGGACAGCAGCAGATTGCAGCCACATCCTCGGGAACCCAGGGTCGGTAGGAGAAAGAGGGAAATTCAGAGACAAAGCAGTGCTACGTAGGTGACTGTAGAAGGGGAGAGGGAGGTGAGCCAGGAGTAAGAGTTCAGTGAGGAGGGAGTGTCCCCAGAGATCTGGAGGTGTCCCTTCTACATCTGAGCCGGCCTCTTCCATGGTTCTAGTTTCTCCTGGAAATGGAGGGAGCAGAGGCAGGGCCAGAGCTGGGCCTTTACCACTGCCTGTTATGTGCCTGGGACACACCCTCCCGCCTAACCGTGCTCCAGCATCTCCGCACACCTGCCCACCGCGATGCCCAGGCCCAGAGGCGTCTGCAGCTGCTACAGAATGGCCCAGCCGCTGAAGAAGGACTCTCAGCTCTTCAGAGTATCCTGAGCTTCAGCCATGGGCGGCTCCGAACTCCTGGTGAGGAAGAGGGCACAGGAGCACACAGGCTGGGCAGGAGGCGGCAGATGCAGGGACATAATGGAGTAGAAATAGGTCTGTGAGCTATCACCAGCAAGTAGGAAGGCGTGGGAAAGGGATGAGAAGGCAGGATGGGGGGCTTCAGGAACAGGGAGGTTTCCCAGCAAGGAGAGGAACAAGAGACTACAGGAAGATGGGAGAGAATGGCAAAGACTTTGCTGAGTAAAGAACAGGAAGACAGCAAGGGGAATGACCGAGCCGGTGATTCTGAGTAACGGCTTGTAGCTCTATTGGTGGTGCAGGGTGGTAGGCAAAAAGAAAAGCCTAAAACGTGTTTCATGCTGGGCTAGACTGGTTGGAAGGAGATGGGCACTGTGGGCATGGTCCAAAGGCAACAGGGATGGGAAGAGGCCCCAACAAGTTTCCCAGCCTCTTCCTGTCTCCTAGGAGGTCTTCAGCCCCAAGGCTGGGCTTAGAGACCCCCTTAGGCAGCAGAGGTTGTACCAGCAGAGGCCGGGAACAGCCAGCCAGGCGCCATTGATCCAGAGGGTGCAGGAGAAGAGCCTGGAAGGGGCTGTCAGAGGTGGGCATGGGCATCTGGGCTTTGGAGAGGCCAGCGGTGGGCGAGGGTGAGGGCAGGGCAGCAGGAACCAGGAACAGGCAGCATTGACTGGTGCTAATTGAATTGCCAATACACTGGCTGGAGTTAAGTGCTGGAGGGGCCCAGATCAATAGCTAACGATCCTGGCGCAAGGCTGAATGGAGTTAAGGAACTTTTAACACTTTAATTAGGCTGCCACCGAAAATAAATTCCTACACATCTGTCAATTCTTCCTTGAGTGGTAATCTCCTTGCCCATCGCCTCCTGTTCACTACAGCCGCCGCATCATTCAACATTTGCAGTGCCCCTCCCACTGTGCTTTGGGGGCTTCCCCTTTCTGAGGTCTGTCATGCCAGGAGGCCAAGTTTAGTCCAGTCCTATGGTGGGGCTTGTTTCTAGGGGTGGGGTGCTAGGCTTGCCCTACTGTTCCGCTACTGGAATTTTCACTTTTACCCTGTGTTTCTCCTGGTGGCTTTTCATCCTTTCCTGCCTCCCGATTCACTCATCCATTTCTTCACCAACTGGCTGCTTGTCCTGCTTCCTCTGCCCTGTGTCCTCCCTCCTTCCCCAGTGTTCACCAGGCTGTGCTGACTCTCTCTCCATCCCACACAGGGAAGACTGACACCCCCTTCTCTAAGCCGCCCACCTCTGAGAAAGATGCCCAGAACAAGACAGAACAATTGGGTGAGCCTCTGACCCGTCTCCCTGGTCCAATTCACTATGTATCCTGGGGTGTTCAGGGGACCCTTCAGAAACCCAAGCACCCCGAAAGGCCTCCTTCCCAGAAGGAGCAAAACTGACCAAAGGAACGGGAAGGGAAAACGGGTCATGTCAGCCCAGGCATCTCTCTGCCCTCTTTGAAAACCTGGCTAACCCGGAAGTCATTCCTGCCAGGCCTCACCTGCTGCTGAGTTCCTTGCCCATCTTCTCCATTCTCTGCAGCCCACTTCCTGCCCTGAAAGCTCCATGTTAGCAGAGGGGCTGTGCAAGAAGGGGAGAGGATGAAAGAGTCCTTTAACATCCTGTCCTCTCACCCTCAGCTTCTGGCGTGACAGAGGACAGAACTGGCCCTTCCACAGACAGTGCCAACCAGATCACGGTCAGAACTGGGGTAACTGGGGTGATGAAGGTGGGGGCCTGGCTTTCCTGAGAGCTCACACGCTAAAGCAGTGGTTCTCAACCTGTCTGTGGGTTACGACCCCCTTGGGTCCCCTGCGACCACTGTGATTCATAACAGTAGCAAAATTACAGTTATGAAGTAGCAACAAAAATAATTTTATGGTTGGGGGGGGGGTCACCACAGCGTGAGGAACTGCATTAAAGGGTCGCAGCGTTAGGAAGGTTGAGAACCACTGCTCTAAAGGCTTTTGTTGTGCTTGTGGCTAATTTAATTCAGCATATCACAGGAGAAGTTCTACTCGGGACCAGTTCTGTATGTGCAGCGTGTGAGGAAGAAAGCTGCCTATAAGGGGAGTAACAGGAAGGGGTGGCGGGACCTTGAGGAAACGTGAAGAGAGATTGTATGAGGGTAGGAGAGACTAGAGAGAAGCGTGGGGAAATGGAAAGAGCGGGGGAACAAAAGAGCAGTCTCATAGGACAGCTAGGGGTCGTAAGCCGGGGCACGCTGTCCTGGCACCCCCTTCTTAAGAGTAGAGGCACCAAACAAGCTCTCAGCTCTAGGACCTGGACCTGAAAAGACTCGGGAGCACTTGGGCCTTATGGCCTCTAAAGTGTCCGTCCTGAGGAGATTCCAAGTCTCTGGTCTTTTATGCCAGCCTGGGCCTCACAGCTTCCCAGACTCGGTTGCAGCATGCAGAGATACCTCAGTGCTCAGTTTCCCTTCCTCCCAACTCCTCCCTGCAGCCTGTGTGTTACAGGACCTGTCCTGAGGGGTGCACTAATATGAATGCCTGGGTGCCCTGCCCTGATGTGCAGGCCTGGGCAAGTGCAGGGCAGCAGGAGAGGCAGGCCAGAGAGAGCAGCTTGATCTGAGGCAGCAGGCAAAATGCCCACCAGACAGTTCAGTTCGGTGACAGGAGGCTTCTACAGCCTCCATCTGTCTGGAGGTCTAGGCCACAATGTGCTGAGGGACAGACCAGAATTCCCCTGGGCCACTTGGGGAGTGGCATTTACTAATATTAAGAAGTAGTGAAGCCCGGGGCTGGAGCAATGGCTCAAGCAGTTAAGAGCACTAGCTGTTCTTCCAAAGAACCTGGGTTCAATTCCCAGTAACTCCAGTTCCAGTGGATCTGACACCCTCATACAAACATACATTCAAGCAAACACCAATATACATAAATAAATCTTTTTTTTTTTTTTTTTTTTTTTTTTTTTTTTTTTTTGGTTTTTCAAGACAGGGTTTCCCTGTGTAGTTTTGGTGCCTGTCCTGAATCTTGCTCTGTAGACCAGGCTGGCCTCAAACTCACAGAGATTCGCCTGGCTCTGCCTCCTGAGTGCTGGGATTAAAGGCGTGTACCACCACCGCCCGGCTATAAATAAATCTTGGGGGAAAAAAAAAAAGAGGAAGTAGTGAAACCAGGCAGTGGTGGCGTACACCACTAATCCCAGCACTTGGGAGGCAGGAGCAGACAGATCTCTGTGAGTTCGAGGCCAGCCTGGTCTACAGAGTGAGTTCCAGGACAGCCAGGGCTACACAGAGAAACCCTGTCTGGAAAAACAAAAGAGAAAGCAAACAAACAAACAGAATTAGTGACAGGGAATGAGAATGGGGAGCAGCTGAGCCAGCTTCAGGGGCAGACAGATCGACCCCTCTGTAGATATTTAGGGACCTGGGAGAAGCAAAATAGGCTGGGGTAAGGGAATTGTCCAGAAGAAAGGATGTACTTCCCAGAGAAGACGGGCCGTGGGGTAGGGGTAAGAGCCAGATTCAGGGCAGAGGCTGGTACAGGGCCATCTGTCGGCTGGAAGATTGACACACCACGTGGAGGGAGGGGGCTGGCAAAGAAGGAAGTCGGGGCAGCACCCTAGGCCAGCGAGGCCTTGGTCCTAGCCCAGTGGAGTTGCCAGCTTCCAGGACTGGTTGGGAGCTGGGTGGGCCAGGGCGCCTTCCTGTCTCCTAAATCTGGAGATGGGGACAGTGTTGCATTGAATCCTGGTGCCTGTGAGGCAGCGGCCCACCCCTTCCCTGACTCCTCCTCCACCACCCCTATGTGTTCCCAGGTATACTGCTGTCCCTATTGCAGCTTCCTGAGCCCAGAGTCTGATCAGGTGAGGGTTCATACACTCTCCCAGCATGCCGTGCAGCCCAAATACAGGTGCCCACTGTGCCAGGAGCAGCTGGTGGGCCGGCCTGCCCTGCGCTTCCACCTCAGCCACCTTCACAACGTGGTGCCCGAGTGTGTTGAGAAGCTGCTGCTTGTGGTGAGTGCCGGCCGGCTGAGGGAAAATGGTCCTACGGTCCTGTCAGGGCAATGTGGGAAGACAGGGAGAGGCAACAATATCCAGGCCAGTGTGCTGGGGGTGCGAGGTGAAGAAAACAGCATTCTAGGGAATTGACTGCGATTTTTAAAGTTGGTGCGGTGGCTCTCGGCACGAAACTTGCCTAGTTCCCTTCACTCCTAGACAAGACAGCTGTGTGTTACTCTCACTTCCACTAACCCCTGAAAAGAGTTGTTAATAGCAGAACCAGGTAGTCCTGAGGTGAGATACTTTTAGCCTGGGGAAGGGGGTCGGGGCAGCTGCCTACCCAGTCCCTCATCCAAAGAAACGCATCAATTGGTTGGGAGGTTTGTCTAGACGGGAGCGTGGACCCCGGGGAAAGGAGCTGGGCACAGACACAGGTGCAGAGGGAACAGTCAGGAATAGCGGAGGCCGGTGAATAGGGCCGAAGCCACTCAGACTTCCTGCATTCTAGGCCACCACCGTGGAGATGACCTTCGCAACCAAAATGCTCCCTGGACCCACACCAACCCCTGTGGAGGATGGCCCAGAACGCCCCGCTCCTGGACCAGAGCCCACTGCCAGCAGAGACCAGGTAGCAGGTAAGGAAGGGTCCAGCATACCTCCCAGAATGGCCGAAAAAGGGATCAAAGTCGGTTGTTTGAAGACAACCGACGTCAAGTCAGTGGCTTTGGATATTGAATGGTTGGAGCTCGGCTTGAACACAGTTCCCTGCCTCTCTGTCTCCTGTAGAAAGCTCTAACCTGACTCCAGAGGCCAGCCCAGATCCTCCTCCTCCTGACCCTCCCCTGGCAGCAGTCGAGGGCCCTGAGAAGCCCTCGGGAAGCCCTGATCAGCCCTCTTCTCCAGTCCCATCTCCGGTCCCTCAGCTTGATGCCCAAGTGGAAGAAGTGGCTCCTGCCCCCGCCATGGCTGAGGAGGAAGAGGGAGCCATGGGGGAGCCCCGCTCCGCAGAGCCAACGCCAGCTGACTCTCG